AAAAAGTACATCATGAGCAAAGCAAGGCAGGATAAACAGCATATTAGAGGCAGAAAAGGGGAAATCACCAAACATAATTTTGATCCTGATTGTTATTTTCAGCATTTAACCTAATTTATATGAATGATTTCTGTGATGATAAGTAAGTACATTAATGTAGGAAACTTGCAGGTCATACTAAAGATTTCCAATGAAAGGAACACACTCACAACTTCATTTTCTGCAATAGCCACAAATTATTTCTTTAAACAGGTTTGTAGGGGATGTAGGTGTGGATCTCCCCATGTTATTGCGTCAAAGCAACATGGACATTCCAATCCTCCTGATGTACACAGATGAGTGCGAGACGGCAGAGACACTGTTCTCCGACTTTGCCCTTCGCAAACAGAGCAGGACTAGAGTTCTCACCGTCAGTGACCCTGCCAGTGAGAAACATGCCAGGAAGTACATGATAAAAGGAATGAAAGAGGTAGGGATGGATCCTTGAGTAATTCTATATCAGTTTCAAGATGATGAACACTGCCTGTGTATGGTTCTTTCACTTATTGTTTATTGTTTTTGTTGCACAATTTCTTTAAAAATTTTATATATAGTATATTGGCACTTGGTCTGTAAAATAAAAATGACACACAAAATATTATTTTTCTTTTGTCAAACTAGTTACGTACTTGTGTAAGGTTGTTTTTAAGTTGTTTTTTTTATGACCACAAACTATCACTGTGGTGTCTGTAATAATGGCATGGTTACTAACTGAAAGTGCTGTCTATTCCAGGGCCTGTGGGTTCTGCTTCACAATGCCCACAACTCCCCCCACTTACTGCAGAATATAGAGGCCATCCTGGAGGAGAACCTGGACACCATGGACCCCCAGTTCCGCTGCTGGATATCTGTCCAAGCTGGGCACCCTAATGTGCCGGTCAGGATACTGCAGAATACAGTGAAAGTGTTGGTGGACTCACCAAAGGTAGCCTGGAGTTTATTTTGCAGATATTTTAATGGAGCATTTGTGTGTTTTGCAATGAGAAGTTTAAATTCATGCTGGTAATTTAGTGTGTCTTAATCTGAAATTGTGAAATACAAGACACTAAACATTTAATATCATGAATTATTTGGTATCATAAATCATAAAATGTTTTAATTCTTCTTCATCTCCTCACCTCCAGATCATGAAGGACAACCTGATACGGGCCTTCTCCTGGGTGGATGCAGACATATTGAAGCAGAGTTCCCGTCCTGAGTGGCCTGCCTTCCTGCATAATATCTGCTACCTCCACGGCACCATAAGACTGCGGGCCAGGTTTGGCAAGGGAGGCTGGAACAACCATGAGGACTTCCTCAAGATTGGGAACAATGAACTTTTTGTAAGATTCAGAATATGTACTTGACTTTTATTAAAGATTAGTTGTATTAGAAGGCAAGTCAACATTAAAATAACAGTGCTTCCTTAAAAAATTAATAGAAAGTTTTAAAGAATTGGTGATTATTCAGGATATATTTAATGCTTGTTTGAGATATTTTCATATATTTTGGAATCACAATATCTATGTATGGCTAGATTTTCTTTTAGAATAACAAATTAAATTGTGTAACATATGACATGATTGGCAGTCATTTGTAAATGATTTAAGCATGAGAGAATTTACTAGACCAAATTTAGAGAAATTTTTATTTTTTTTCTACAGGATACTGTTGATACAAAAAAAGGCTGTTTTCACCAGTGTGAATTGTTTTAAAAGACGTACTGTGACATCTTTATTTTCTTTTTATCACAGGAGGCTCTTGCCCTGGCTATAACAGAATTCCGTGATAACCTGACCTGTATTGGCCCAGATGGCAGTGCTGTTCCCAGGAATACTTCCTGGAATGGTATCAGATACATGCTTTCTGAGGTAAGTAATGGCATTGATTTCAGAAATACTTTTTTGAGAAGCATTTTGAAATGAAATTTGATAAAATATTTCTGAAATCAAATTGATGCATTCCTCAATTTACATTTCAACTTTTTATGGCACTAAATGACAAAGTTGTGATTTTTTTATTTGACTGAAATTAATTTGATACTGAAATTATAATAAGCATAATGTGTTTAAGTATACTTGGATGATATAGATATGACTCCTAACAATATTTTCTTAATCTACAAAGTTTATATTTGCTGATTTTTTAAATTTTATTCATCATGCAGGTGATCTATGGCAGTTATGTGTCTGACCCGTATGACCAGCAGACCCTGAGTGCAATTATTGACTACTGGATCTCACCTAACGCAACTAAGAAAGACTTTGAGTTGGCCAGATGTGAGTGTTGGTTTGCAACTTAGGCTGTACATTCACAAGGAATAGTGTACTGGGGAACTTGGTCTAATTTGCATCATCATTTTATATAAGACTTAATCCATTCTTTTATTTGTCACAACTGACATTTCAATCAAACCATCTAAAGTATTAATATTGATGTGTGATGCCCTTTGTATCAAGATTGCACATTGATGTAATAATTTGAAAAGTTAATAGGTTTTAAGGTACTTTTGAATATTGAAGAATATGAAACAAGGAATTTTTTCATTTTTTTAAGTCATTTGCGTAATAGTTAAATTTTACCAATGTTCATGTAATTTGTCAGTGATCTAAAAAATCTTTGATGTGTTGATTTTCTCTGCATAACAGTTTTATGGTCAAATACTAACATGTTTTATTTCCTCTTTACAGTGAAATACAGACATCCCCAAGCCTTCTTTGCCCCTCACATCCGACTGAATGCCCTGATGTCATCTTTAGAGGGGATTCCAAATCACTTCTTAGATGTGCCAGAGGCATGCCACTTACATCAGAGCTCAGAGGTAAGATAATATCANTATGAATGATTTCTGTGATGATAAGTAAGTACATTAATGTAGGAAACATGCAGGTCATACTAAAGATTTCCAATGAAAGGAACACACTCACAACTTCATTTTCTGCAATAGCCACAAATTATTTCTTTAAACAGGTTTGTAGGAGATGTAGGTGTGGATCTCCCCATGTTACTGCGTCAAAGCAACATGGACATTCCAATCCTCCTGATGTACACAGATGAGTGCGAGACGGCAGAGACACTGTTCTCCGACTTTGCCCTTCGCAAACAGAGCAGGACTAGAGTTCTCACCATCAGTGACCCTGCCAGTGAGAAACATGCCAGGAAGTACATGATTAAAGGAATGAAAGAGGTAGGGATGGATCCTTGAGTAATTCTATATCAGTTTCAAGATGATGAAAGCTGCTCTTGTATGTTTCTTTCATTTATTGTTATATTTGTATAAATTGCACAATTCCTTAACAAATTTGATACCTATGTAGTATTTTGGCACTTGGTCTTAAACTATTTAATAAGTACTTTTAGGTTGTTTTTTCAAATGGCCTTTTTGATGACCACAAACTATCACTGTGGGGTCTGTAATAATGACACGGCTACTAACTGAAAGTGCTGTCTATTCCAGGGGCTGTGGGTTCTGCTTCACAATGCCCACAACTCCCCCCACTTACTGCAGAATATAGAGGCCATCCTGGAGGAGAACCTGGACACCATGGACCCCCAGTTCCGATGCTGGATATCTGTCCAAGCTGGGCACCCTAATGTGCCGGTCAGGATACTGCAGAATACAGTGAAAGTGTTGGTGGACTCACCAAAGGTAGGCTGGAGTTAATTTTGCAGATATTTTTCATTGAGCATTACAATAAGAAGTGCAAACTGATGGATTTTTAATTATGAGATACATGTTTCAGAAATATTCTATTTTTAATTCATGCTGGCAATTTAGTGTGTATCTTAATCTGAAATTGTGAAATACAAGACACTAAACATTTAATATCATGAATTATTTGGTATCGTAAATCATAAAATTTTTTATTTCTTCCTCATCTCACTTCACCTCACCTCCAGATCATGAAGGACAACCTGATACGGGCCTTCTCCTGGGTGGATGCAGACATATTGAAGCAGAGTTCCCGTCCTGAGTGGCCTGCCTTCCTGCATAATATATGCTACCTCCACGGCACCATAAGACTGAGGGCCAGGTTTGGCAAAGGAGGCTGGAACAACCACGAGGACTTCCTCAAGATTGGGAACAATGAACTTTTTGTAAGATTCAGAATATGTACTTGACTTATATTAAAAATTAGTTGTGTTAGAAGGCAAATCAACATTAAAATAACAGTGCTTCCTTAAATAAGAAAAAAGGGTTTTAAAGAATTAAAGATTATTCATGATATATTTAATGCTTGTTCTAGATTTTCTTTTAGAGTGACAAATTAAATTGTATAATACATGACATGATTGGCAGTCATTTGTAAATGATATAAACATGAGAGAATTTACTAAACCAAATTTAGAGAAATTTGTATTTTTTTTTCTACAGGATACTATTGATACAACAAAAAACTGTTGTCACCAGTGTGAATTGTTTTAAAAGACGTACTGTGACATCTTTATCTTCTTTTTATCACAGGAGGCTCTTGCCCTGGCTATAACAGAATTCCGTGATAACCTGACCTGTATTGGTCCAGATGGCAGTGCTGTTCCCAGGAATACTTCCTGGAATGGCATCAGATACATGCTTTCTGAGGTAAGTAATGGCATTGCTTTCAGAAATACTTTTTTGAGAAGCATTTTGAAATGAAATTTGGTAAAATATTTCTGAAATGAAATTGATGCATTCCTCAATTTACATTTCAATTTTTATGGCACTAAATGACAAAGTTGTGATTTTTTTATTTGACTGAAATTAATTTGATACTGAAATTATAATAAGCATAATGTGTTTAAGTATACTTGGATGATATAGATATGACTCCTAACAATATTTTCTTAATCTACAAAGTTTATATTTGCTGATTTTTTAAATTTTATTCATCATGCAGGTGATCTATGGCAGTTATGTGTCTGACCCGTATGACCAGCAGACCCTGAGTGCAATTATTGACTACTGGATCTCACCTAACGCAACCAAGAAAGACTTTGAGTTGGCCAGATGTGAGTGTTGGTTTGCAACTTAGGCTGTATATTCACAAGGAATAGTGTACTGGGGAACTTGGTCTAATTTGCATCCTCATTTTATATAAGACTTAATCCATTCTTTTATTTGTCACAACTGACATTTCAATCAAACCATCTAAAGTATTAATATTGATGTGTGATGCCCTTTGTATCAAGATTGCACATTGATGTAATAATATGAAAAGTTAATAGGTTTTAAGGTACTTTTGAATATTGAAGAATATGAAACAAGGAATTTTTTCATTTTTTTACGTCATTTGCGTAATAGTTAAATTTTACCAATGTTCATGTAATTTGTCAGTGATCTAAAAAATCTTTGATGTGTTGATATTTGCTTTTCTCTGCATAACAGTTTTATGGTCAAATACTAACATGTTTTATTTCCTCTTTACAGTGAAATACAGACATCCCCAAGCCTTCTTTGCCCCTCACATCCGACTGAATGCCCTGATGTCATCTTTAGAGGGGATTCCAAATCACTTCTTAGATGTGCCAGAGGCATGCCACTTACATCAGAGCTCAGAGGTAAGATAATATCAGAGTTTAGTACTTCATCTTTTTAAACTATGAATATTAGTGGAAAGGAAGATGTGTGTAAATGAATTTTAAAACTTTGCCTATTTAAAAAAAAATATTTTTAACTTCAAGTGATATAATTTTATGAACCACAGTATTATTAAAGAGGAATGAAAGCCATAAACTGTTCTGGAATATTTTTTATTCTGATGCAGAAGATAGGCAGGATTTGGAAACTTGATTTAAATAGTATAACCAGTCAGTCATTCGCCTTGAACTTACGTTACCTGTACCTTTTTTAAAAACTAATTTTCCAAAAATGACTTTTAAAAATTTTCTTTTTATGCACATTTCAAAATTAATACTGCATGTACCTTTTTTAACCAATTTTTCAAAAATGGCCTTAAAAAATTCTCCTTTTATGCACATTTCAAAATTAATACTACAATATGATATATCTCTAATTACAATTTTCATTCAACTTATATGGTATGAAGTAACCTGTGGTTGTCATATGGTCTTCTGTCCCTCATTAACAAACTCCTACCATTTATTTAGTTAATGTGTCGTTTCATGAATCTCATAGTCCTTAATAATTTTAATTAACTAGTGGTTAAATGTGAATAGATTATCTTTCCTTTTTTAGATTTCTCTTCTGAATCAGTAGAAATCCTGATAATGTATTTTTTAATTAATAGAAATATTAACATTATTTTTTTCTTCACCTGAATACCTACCTTAGGCTGAGTATGTCTCATATTTTTAACTTATGATAAATCATTGTGCTGTGACTGTATTCTGTATGTGATGCACAGTGACACTGTTTTCAGTGGACTTGGTCAGCAATGCTATTGTTTCATTATAGGTTTCTAGAAATATATGGGGTAGACAGGTATTGTCTTCAATTTTGGCATTATGGATATGAAATATGTAGATTCCTGCATGCGCAGTGAGACTGTCTACTAATATTACCACCACTTTTTGCCAACTATTCTGTTGCAAATTACGAAAAGCTTATTTTATAAAACAACTAATTTACTAATATTTGATCAACAAAATCTCAGACTTGTGCAATTCTTTTGACATTTTTCTTCCATGTATTTTACTCAATTCCCTCCTGTCTTCCCCTAGTATTATGTTGACCAACATCACAAAGCACTTCCACTTTTGAAATATATCAGATTGGTCCACAGCTACAGTATTATATATTCATTTATAGCAAGTCAGTTCCAAATTACATGGGGGGTCAGTATCACTTTGATTTTAAAGACACGATAAATACTGCATGGTCATTAATGGATTGTTGAACTCACTTTATCTGGTAAGCCTTTGTCTTAAAGGTATACATTATTACAAGTGATAAAGATATGGGGAGTCCAACATATGTTGAGTGAACTGCACTTGACTCCAGCATGTACACACCACTTATTTATGCACTAAAATATAACCATGATCTTGTCTTGTTTGGTTGTGCCCCCTACAGTATGGTGCTAGCAAAGCCTTCTATGAAGCCCTCATGGATCGTGGGCTCAAGGGGTTTGAAGTGGTAATGTATTTGGTGTTCTCTATCAGTAGAGGGCATGTTGTGTCTAATAGGCAAACCTATGTCAAGGTTCTGGTGCATTTCTTTATCAAAATAATTTTGTTCACATTGTTTTTGTTTTGTTTTGTTTTTTTTCAATTTTTCAGCAACTTTGTTTATCTCAAGGAAATGAGGGGATAAAATCAGCTGCATGTAATATACAGTTGATTTTTACCTCTGAAATGCATCAGAACCAGAACTTAATAATGCTTACAATAATGTCTAATATTGTGCATCAGTTCAATGCTTCCATATATACATGCAATTAAACATAAAACTTACGTATAGCTGCACATACACAGGAATTGAAAGCAGCCATTTAAAGAACTTACATGGGTGTCTGCTATGTGTAGAACTTGGTTCCAGAGCTGACCCACGCTGTGTACACATCAGGACTAACTTAAATCAGACATACTAATTGACATCACCTGACAACAAGTTTACATAGAGAATGATAGTGTGATATAAGTTGGTCTTGATGTGAACAGGCTTTATATAATTCCTGTTGTATCCTGGTAGGGCAGAACACTAAAATACTTCTGCATGGCTTACCGTTTAACTGCCGCTAGGGACACAATGCTTTTATTTACAGTTTTGGGAAAATTCACTGAAAATTTACATATGACCTCCCCTTGATCTCCACACACAAACAAAAACACACACACACACACACACACACACACACACACACACACACACACACACACACGGTATCAAATTTTATGGAAAATAATGTTGTTATAGTCACAGAACTGTCAACATGTTAAATCCCATATTATTCTCAAGTTAACTGTGTCAAAAAAAAAAACTTCATGTCAAATGCCTACATCCATTTCAGTATACAGTGTGTTAGTAGAACCTAGTTAGTAAGGAAGAAGGGATACATTTATTACTAACTTTTAGAGCTAGAATTATTATCTGCTACATATACTGCATGCATTAGGTAGCAAGGACTGCATACATATTCTGCTGAAAGTTTCTAAAAGCCTGTTACTATAATTGCTTATATTCAAATAGATATAGAAAAGTTAGTGACTTATAAAAATACTGACTTCATATCTCACTCACCTGGGTGACTTACTTAGCTAATATATAGTTGTTTGAAGGTAAACTTAGCTGTAGATACCCATTCCTTGTTACTGCTCTACTTGGGATCTTCATACTTTTCGTGATAGGCTAGCTTATTGCAGGCACATACATACACACAATTCCAGTGTCACTCATTTTTGTTGTACAATTTCTGTTTTCACAACTGGAAAACACAAATATAAGTTTGATTTGAATCAGAACTTTTGTCTTGTTTAATTTGTTTTATTTAATTTTCATAAATTGCACATATTTATTTTAATACTTTTTTTTATAAATCACAGTTTGTCTAACTGGCATTTTAATAACAACACACATTTTGTATAACTAGCTTTTGATGATTAATAATAAAATCACATTTTTGTGATTCAAAATCTAAATAAATATAATATTTTAACCTCACCATAATTACACAGCCATAACATCACTGGATGGTATGCTAACATTTGAATGCTGACCAGTTTTATCATATGTTATTTCCCATGTATTTCCAGTGTCTGCTTGGAGATGACCAGTATGTATTTACCAGACTTAACAGGGTGTTTGACAACATGCCGCAGTCAGAAAACCTCAGCCACAAACTTTTCCCTAGACCCCCTACTCCATTTGAAGGTAACAGTCACTGGTGACAAACATTGACAAATGTAATGGTCTATGAATTAGAGATGATATGTAATAATATGAGAATTGAAGTTATTTGTTGTAGATTAACTTTATGAAGCTGAACACCCCAGAGATAAAATGACTAAAGTATTCTGTTTTCTTAATGATAAAGTCCACATTGTGTTTTGTGTCAGGTCCCCCCATAGCCCAGGTGAGCATGCACAGCCTGAACCCTCAGATAGTAAACATGGGAGTGTTTGCCACAGCCAGCTTTGCTGCCATGAAGCTGAGGAAAGATGTAGAGCTGTGGGAGATCTGCCATACCACCATCCCTAAGGTGCCAAAGGCTTTCAGCAAGGTGGGTACTCCAATGTAGACTGCATTCACAACTGAAATGAAATAGACACATAAAAGGTTTAAGTTGCATTGCCTCATGGAATACAGATTACAAATGGGAACCCCCTGGGTCATGGGGATCATAAGTTGTCTGGTTATCTTCATATCTTAAATTTAAGGTAAAGGAAATGCAGCTGTAAAACAGTATCAGGGGTAATAATGATACTGATAATTATGTTGAGAAACTTGTCTTTACTTAGTTGATGAATTAAGTTTGTCATTTTAGGAATATGTCTTGGAGAAAATCAAGAAGAATGAGAGGATAGACCCTGAGGCTCCATTTTATCTGTGGATACAGAAAGAGTGTGAACAGATGCATGCTCTGCTCACTGATATCAAATCAACTCTTGTGGTAAGTATGACGTATGAGTTTTTTTTAAAGCATCTTTTATGAAGATTTTTCATGAAGATGTTTTGGAGATCTGCCCTTTGAACTGAAACAGCTTTCCTGAATTATCCAATACTGGAGTACGATCTTTCACATAAATGAAATTTGTGTTTTTAATTTAAATTGGAAAAACATTGAATATATTTAAGATAAAAAAAATTCAGTCTGTTGTACAAGTTCCTAGGCTAGAAAACTTCCAGCTTCCTATAAATCAGTCATTCGAGTGAAGTGCCTATTCTTTCAGGCCATCAAGAACGCCTGTGAGCTGGGTACATTTGGTGACCAGTTGACTCCAGACATGATCCTGGCAGCAGACGACCTATACCACATGAGGATACCAAGGACATGGTGTGCCCTGTCAGGTCACTCAGCACCACCACAGAACTACCCACTTGGACAGTGGCTGACCTCACTGACTGAGAGAAATCAGCACTTTGAGAAGATCATTATCTTGGTGTGTATAAGCTTAAGGCCATGGTCAAATTTTGTTTGAATTTGAGAATAGTTGTACTGCTAAAGTCACATATTCTGTTTGTTCATTAAGCATGAACAAAAGTATCCTGAACAGTACAGATGATAAATTGTGGTAATTAATGTTGTAATTGAGACATTTGAAGCCTGGCACAAGAAGTATTCTATTGAAGTTGCACTTTTAAGGTGGCACTATTAAAATTGTTTGTACGATGTTTCAGGGCCGTGAGAAGATGCCTGCTTACTGGCTTGGTGCCTTCTTCAACCCCAAGGCTCTGTTAGCCTTACTGAAGCAAGACTCACACAAACACTACTCTGTGGATAGGTCAGGGTCTGTGGAGCCATTTGTCTTCCAGACAGAGATCACTGCCAGGGATAAAGACCATGTAAGTAGAATAAAGATAAGGTGAAGATTTCTTGAGCTTTAGGCAGTGTTTGTTTAGAACTTTAAGAAGAAAACATTCATACGGTGTGTCACCCTTGCAACTATGCTGCCATCTGGTAATAAGTTGCAGATATCTGTTGAGAAACTAAGAACATGGGCATACATACACCCACACTCATTGAGCAAGTCTATGAACCAAAAGTTTGAAGTTGAGTCAAAATTTTGTGTCTAATCTGAGCATGTACATGTGCATGTATAAATTTGACATATCATATTGTATATTTACAATTCAGTTACGAGATCCCCCACAAGAAGGCATGTTTGTATTTGGCCTGTACATGTGGGGCTGTGCCTGGGAGAAAACGACAGGAGAGCTGCTGGACCTGCCACCCAAACATGGCTGCACACCTTTGCCAGTCGTACACATCACGTGCTGGCCACAGTCCGAGAAACCAAACATCCAGGATCCAACACGAGCAGCAGAGACCTATGCATGTCCCTTGTTCCATTCTCGCACTGCCCCACGCGACCCTATCATGGAGATTGATGTTAGGAGGGAGAACATTCCTGCCACTCGTTGGGCTCTGAGAGGACTGTCAGCCACCATTAGGCCTTATTAATTTCTGCCACCATCTTGTGATATGATCGCAGGACTTTTTTTAGGCACTGTAAACACTGCTGTTTTTGTTAAACAATTAACCTCAAGGTTATTCATGATTACAGTATTTACCAAAAGGATAATGCCACCATTTAAAATAAAGTAAACAAGGGTAATTAATACACAGCTTACTTGTTAAATAAAGCACTTGTTGTAGTCCGGTTGCTTAGGGCAAAAAAATGGCCAAATCGTGACACAGCGGATAAAAGCACCAAACTTTGCATGTGGATACCTTTTGACATACTAAATCAAATTAGAGCCGTAGCCCACGGAAAAAATTTACCGTTTGGTCAAAAAATCCAAAATGGCCGCCAATTTGTGAAATTTTGTAGAAATATATACATATCTATGTTGATTTTTATCAAATTAAGTATTTTCTCAATGTTTTCCACATCGTTATTACCCATATTATGCATATGGTACCAGATACCAAATTAGTGTCCTTGGACTTATTGAAAAATCCAAGATGGCCGCCGTATGGCATAGGAATACTAGAACATGTACAAGGGTGTTCAACTAACTAATGCCAACTAGGAAGATGCATTGCCCACTTTCTAATTAATTTTGTTTCTTATTACACAAATAATATATTTGTGG